CGCGCGAGAGTCCGCCATGCAGAAAGTGGTGTTGACCTGAAGACAGAAGCTGCCGTGCTGAGAGGTGAGGAAGCACCCACCCGGGACCCGCCGCGATTGTGGCTGAGATTCGGGGACTTCGGCACCTGAAAAGCAGCGGTCTCAGAAACTCCAACTCTCGGCAACGCACAGTGATCCTGCCAGTCCACTTCAAACTCGCTACATTCTCACGGAGTTGTTTGGTGAACCTCTCGGCCTAAGAAGAGGGAAAGTCGCCGAATTCGGCCACATCTGTCTTGGCCCAAGGCTTGGCGAAAGAGCCCACCTCCTCTCTCAGTGTGGTACCAACCCTTGGCGTGTCTTGGGAGTGGCTGGGAGTACCAGGGCCAAGTGGATGCCTCGTGAACCTCTCGAACTCTACAGCACTCTGATTGAGCCCAGGATGTCTCTGATCACAACCCACGATAAGCCTGTCATAGCGGGGAGCCTACCCCACCTACCCATGCCTTGGCTCGACTGAAGCGAGGGGACGATGGAATCTACGCACCAGTTGGTATGGAATAAGCATTGGGCGGGCGGCGTCGTGCTTACTGTGGGCCGGCCAGTCCATCGACTTCCGCTGCTCTCTCGCAATCGATTGCTGAAGCTTTCTGTCTGACCACCATGACAATCCCCGCGGGCCGCAATAACTACACTCACCTCAACAGCAAGACTCTCGACCGCTCGAGGTCCATCGTCACCCTGACAGAGTAGATCAACGCCCGCGACAAGCACAGAGTTCTGACTCACCTCATGGTCTCGCCCATCCGTCGATGCCGCGCTGGTCTCAGTGTCACGAGAGCTATTACGCAGTGAACCGGCACCGGGAGCTGCAGTCTGCCGTATGCGGCTCACCGTGCCCATTGGTCTCGACCGGCTCCTCATATGAGCTAGTTTCGGCGAGATCGGCACCTACAGGGTAGGATAGTCACTATGTCATCATATACCACGCTCACTGTGGGCTTGCCGCTCCATCTGAGATTGCTAGCTTCTCGAAGACGACTGGAGAACTTCTCAGCCTAAGCCAGTTCAGCGTCACCCCTGCGAGCCAGCGCGAGAGAGCCACCCACCGCAACTGCCAGGCCGTCAGCCTGATCGACCACGTCCTTCGGGGTCTCCGACCTCGGAGTGTAACCGGTTCCAAGAGCTCTCGCTGCCGTGTGCAACTTGGGCTCCTATCACAAGATATGCCACTTCTTCCCACTCATCTCACTCACCAAAGGCACCGTCAGTTTCATTGTTGAGCACGGCAGTATACCCGCTGTTA